CAAATTTTGTTGTGCAACATTCCCAGAGCTCCTTTACTACCCAATGTCCTTTGCGCGAATAAATAAACAAATAATAACACAAGTAACAGCTTTTTAAAAAGCTTGGCTGACTATGTCATCAATATCTATAGAATCTATGAGCATGATAAACTATAAACGTTTACATTTGGGGGGGGGGGGTTTAAATTATTTCACTGGAGTAAATTATGGAGATGTTGCACAAAACATAAACCATATATAATACTGTTTGTATCTCAAATAAAAAATGAAATCATGATCATGTCCCGCTGTAGATTCGAACCCGGGACGAAAATATGAACACCTCTGTCCGCAAGTCTAAAATGGTTTTAGAGAATGACATAAATAAGGAAAAACATTTGATTAATGCTTGAAAGCATGGCTACATATAAAGGTGGCAGCTGAAAATATGATAACTACAAGAAATTGGGGATCTAACAATTATGACTGACGTGTACAATATGATTGATAGTTTCTTGGGTATGCCAAAGTATCGAAGATTGTTGGAAACGTGGGAAAAATAATTAAAGTTTTAAATGACCCAACAAACTTGACGGCGATATATGAATGCCATGGTGCGGATTCAGGAAGTTTTTCCCAGAGATGAGGGATCAACATCAAATGTTTTATTACTTTAAATGATGTAACTTCTAACTCACTTCACAATGTCACCGAATTGTTTTTTTTTTTTTTTTTCCAAAGCTCGACCAGGATTCTGACAAAAAAGAACAGACTTTACATAATTCATGCAGTTTTCATTTTCATTCAATAGAATAGTCCAGAAAAAGGATGCAAAAACCTACACGTGACATTTTGGCGCGAAATAATAGCGTCACCCCTTACCTAGAAGACAAATGGACTAATCCAGTAGTATAGAAACGCAGAAAAAAAGGTCAAACGGACATATATCCGTATAAGAACTCGCATGAAATTAATATATGCTAGCAAAAGACTAGAGAAAATAAATACTTCAATGTATTGTATTAGCAATAAGTTTATTTTTCTGCTAACAGAATAGATAACTGTTGTTGCTGAAATGCATGTAACAAATCCGATGATAATCAGCATGCACAAAATTTTGCTGGCTAACTGTGACCTCTTCGAACCCTATTGATCCTTAGCGTGACGTCAGGCAATAAAAGGCTTTCAGTTTGAAGAAATATTTCAAAAACTTTTCCGCAATAAATATACAGTTATTACTAGCTTACTCTAAAGTCTTATATGTACTAGCGTACTCTGTTTAGTAGGACCGGTTTTTTCAGTGGGTGGCTCAGTACAACTCTCCTGTCTGTTTTTTTTTTCTGCAGCTATACTGTGTATGAAGTTTGATTATTTTTAAAAATATCTTGGTTAGTTTGTTTGAAACTGAGCTTTGAACTTAGCTAAAGGCAAAGTGTGACGGAAGGAGATAAGGCAGGATGGAAGACGTCCGACATGACAAACATTATATCCCAAGCCATATTCATGGCGGGGCATAGAATGATTATTGGTTTACATAAAAAAATAGGTTGTGACTTTCTTTCGGAATTCAACACCAGCCTTAATCTACATGTATATACGCATGTACAAAAACAAATCAACCAACTAACATTCTCGGCTCAGAAGGAAGACATTGTATATTCATTTTAAACATGTTAAGGGGGGGGGGTACTTATAGTGATGAGAGGAAATTTAACCACGTGTCGGTCCATGAAACATGAAAGATTATTTTTGGAATGTTTGTATACAACAGCGTGGCTTTCTTTGAACTAAATTAGAATTTATTGAAATATTTAAAAATAATTCTTTCAGGGACGCCGTGATATATTTGGTAGTCTCTGTAATAACTGTTCGGATATAGCACAGGCCTTTAGATCGCTTAGAAAAAAAAATTGAGGTGTTGGAAAAAAAATACACACAATTTTTTTTCTAAGCAATCTAAATGCCTGTGGGATACAGTGTCTTTTGAAGGTACAACACCTTTCTTTTAATATTACCAAAGGATTTGCTGATCCTTTTTTCCGTATAGTCGAAATGCAGGGGAGAAGGAAAAAAAACGTATGTGGATTAATCAAATACAAATTGATGCGTTGTGTTTTTAATCTAAATAGACACGTTTTTTTCTTCACGTTTTCCTTTTTTGTAAAATGCCATTTGCTTTGTTTAAAAACTTTTTCCTACGCGTTACCAATGTGAGAAGAGAAAACAAGACGTCCTCAAACAATTTATTTCTAATGATGAAAACACCGAATGACGATGAGGATAATTAAGGTGAAATTATTTACTGAGACCCTATAGTATCTACATTTCATGTCACCAACATTAACAATGACTGACCGGGAGGACGTTTGGTAAAGAATTAAAATTGATGTTTTATCGTCGAGATACTGGTTAATGATAAATAGCATTAACGAATTTTCAATTTTTAAAAAATCGTATTCTTAAACTCTGGATGTATATATTTTGACCGTTATTCTAGGCAAAAGTGCATTCATGTATATTTATACTGACATCGACTGAACATGTACAAGCATGTCAAATCGTGCAATGTTGATTCAACGAAAAAGTATATTATTTTTGTACAATAACATTTTAAAGTTTAGTAGCGAATAACTGCATACTCAAAAGTGCTTAATTTAATGTTGGATGTTTTCACTACCATGCATGCGTACATGTAAGTTTAATATTCATAAAACAATATCCACCTCCATAAAAACAGGGGGGGGGGGGGGTATTGCAAACCAAGCTAGTGTTTATTCGGCTATCAAAATACATAAAACTTTCAATGAATAAATCGAGCGATTACGATTGATTTAAACAAGCTGAAATAGAGTGAAATGAAATGATATGAAAGAAATGACATATTTTAAACCCAATTTTCCATTTGTAACTATCGGAGTACACAATGGATTTTCATATATGCCCACTGTTCTCTGCAACCACGTGCTTGTAAACGAGGACCGGGCAACACAACTTTAGACACAAAGTGACAAAGCTGGATATAACCTGTTTGCTATACCGGTATTACAAATACGTGAACAATAGTATATTATAAATTACTTTTTATGTTCAATGTTTATTTAATCTTTAAAAAATGATACCCCGGTAAATGGAGAAACTAAAGAGTGATCATGGTAAAAATAAAACGTACATATACAATATTACCTATCACTATCCATCCCTCATTATAATTATTTGCCGAAGCCCCTTCTCAATTACAATTGAAATAAAATACATTAACACAGAATAGAGTTTTTTTTTATTTTGCGAGAACAGGCCAAAGAAAGCGAACACAGTTCAAAATGATTTTATGCACCAGTGTTTGGAATTACGATTAAATATGAAAGATGGGTAAAATAATCTTATTGAATCGCGATGTAATTAAAAACACAGTTTTCTATTAATTGTTAGGTCTTTCTACACAATGGTCTAATACAATCACAAACACTTGCTTTGTTTATCATGTTTATGTCCACAGGTGCCTGGTACACTCGTGACCTAGATCGACAGCGTGGGATTTGTGGCTTTGATTACATAACTGTAAAACATCTCGCTGAACAATGGGATCGTAATATGTATCAACTAATGATCGTGAATTATTCAATGTATAAAGTTTAAGATTAATTATATAGTTTGTTACAATGATAAACGTAGAAAAGTAGATTTTATATCTTCCGCTTTTAAAGACGTGTTCACTATAAAACTAATTAAATTTTATAAAGAAAAATAGAAAAAGTAGTTGTAATACATGATTTAATAGTTAATCATAAAACACGTTTAAACCTTATTTTGAAGAAAATCAACATAAAATACCGTAGGGTATATTATTTACAGCAAGTTATACACATGATGAGGTCAGATTTACTTGCCAAATGAAAACGCTACATGTTTACCTGACCTGCTTTCGACTGCATATTATGCAATAACCCCGGTATATTCGAACAAATAAACATTCCTATCAGATCAAAAGGGTGTTAAAGAACAAGTTTGCTCGTAATATTTAGATCGAAATATTTACCGTTTTTGAGTTATAAAGCAAAAACTTTCAAGCTCCAGAGATCCCTTATTTTAGGGGCCAGCCCCTTTTCTATAGTATTAAATGAAAGCCCTTGCAATTATGCACAACTTTTGTTCAACATGTCTTAACAAAATATTTTTAGTTTTCAAGATAAAAAGGAAAACATGTGTAAATTTTCGCTCTTTTAGGCGTTCTATTTTTTGACCCCTGTATTGCGCCATTTTGAATAGAGAAATCGAAAAACAAAAACCGATGTGCACAACTTCAATCCTTCTGTTATCTAAAACCAGTAAAAATTCTGCTCCAGCTCTAGTGGTCTCTGAGCCTTTGTCTGGAAATGAAAGCCTATAATTTTTCGTTTAAAGGGAAATAACTCAAAACCGGAAGTGACTTTTTGAATTTATTGACAGCATTCTGATAGAGTTTATTACCGTCTATAATGTCTGAAAATTTGAACAAAATCCATTAAAAAATGAGCGAGATACGAGGCCTCAAAGTTGGCGTCTAGGAAGAAAAAAAAAAAAAGAATAATAAGAATAATCTTAATCTTCACAATCAGTAGAAGGTCTTCCGTTGGAAACGGAAGACCTTAATAATAAGAAACAGTAGAATCACTATAAGGTCTTCCGTGAAGACGGAAGACCTTAATAATAAGAAACAGTAGAATAACTATAAGGTCTTCCGTGAAGACGGAAGACCTTAATAATAAGAAACAATACAATCACTATAAGGTCTTCCGTGAAGACGGAAGACCTTAATAACAGGAATAAGTTACTGAAGAAAAGCATAATCAGGGGAAGATAACCCAAAATGTACACAATTGTCATTAAAAACTTAAACAAATCATTTGAAAAATAACTTGTTTCCATGATGCCCTTGACTGTACAAAATGTATATAGTTAGGATTGTATTGACTCTGAGACATCCAAGAAAAAAAAAACCAAAACAAAGAGGATAGTTTTGTTATTTCTTTTTTTTCCTGTAGCTATTTGACGAAGCCAGAGGATAGAAAGAAACACCATATAGAGGTGGTAGAGAAAGAGATTCACACCCACCCCGAGCAGTACCCTAAAGTCCACATCAAGGACCACCCCTCCCCACGGGAACAGGCGGAGGAGGTCAAGGAATTTGACGCCGCCTACAAACTACCAAAAGAGACCCCCGTCATTACTTAACTTAGATGTCTCTTAGAGGAAATTTAATTAATATCAAGGATTTTTTTATTTTTATTTATGTTAATTGTTTTGTACAATCAACTTTGTTGATGATATTCTAGAAGATGTCTTCTTTAAAATCAATTTTGACAGGGCTTATGCATATGTAAAAGAGCAGTAAAAAATGAGAAAAGTGAGAGGAACAAAAAGTTTTAAATAATGACAGACTCTTTAAAGAAGCAAAATTCTTCTCAGTAATGATTATATATTTCATGTTTTAAGTCTGCTGTTTAGATCTGTTGTTTAGAAATACATGTTTTTTTCACACTAAGGCCATTCCAAGTTTTTTCTCTGTTTAGTGTCCAACCATCTTTCAAAAACCTACCTACCTATTCGCACAAAACACACCAGCCAAAACACAAAACACAGGTTTAAAAGTCATATAAATGATGCCCTTCCAATGATTTGATCTAACTTAACTGCTTTAATAGAAAAAATGTCTATTCTTAAGCAAAAACAAGGGATTAAATTCTTAAAATACACCCAGTATAACTTAATTACTCTACAGATTTTGGAGAAATTGACAAAATTCAAAAATTTTGACAAAATTAATCAATTTCAGGACTCCTGATATAGTGTGTTTTTTCTGACATTGGGCCATTCCAAGTTTTTTCTATGTTTAGCGTCCGCGTGCGCCTTGGTTTTTGACACCCCATGTCATTTGAAGGGCGTCATTTTTATGACTTTTAAACCTGTGTTTTGTGTTTTGGCTTGTGTGTTTTGTGCGAATAGGTAGGTAGGTTTTTGAAAGATGAATGGACGCTTAACAGAGAAAAAACTTGGAATGGCCTGGGGTGTCAAAAACCAAGGCCCACGCGGACGCTAAACATAGAAAAAATTTGGAATGGCCTAATCTGTCATAAATCTTTATTTCATAATAATAATAGAAACCAGGGTATGAAATTTTTTGAAATTTGGGCAAAGCCATATACCGGTTTGTAAACACCTATCCCTGTGATATTTCAGTGTGCATTACCTAATGAAATACATGTAACCAGTTTGGAAATAACTAATCATTTCTACTAACTTTGGTCATCCATTGTACTCCGTTAGATAAATTTTGTTTGCATGTTATATAAATGTTGATTAGACCAAATGCACTCAAATTGAATGGGATTTTTTTAGACCCAACTTGATGTCAGGAGTTTTCATATTTATTATATATATTTTTTTTTTGGGGGGGGGGGATTATCCTATATTGATTTGAGAAGGACAGTGTGAATGATTTTTGCATATTGTTAGCTTCAAAAGAAGTGCTAAGCAACTTTGTTGGACTGTAAGTTTCAGTTTTATTTGGATGAACAGAAGAAGAAACACTTAAGTTTGGTTTCATTTCTGCACAGCATTGAACCATTAGGCAATTAACAATTTAATTAAATTTTATTTACCATGCCTATCATCTTTTATTTACCATGCCTATCATCTGTTGTATCTTAATAGCAAATGTACCGTATATGTATATACACGCCTACAAGTCAGATTTTTGGGAGTTAATTTCTGGTCCAAAACTATCAAATGAATGGTATTATATGAAGTCAGTCCCTCTGATTTCTAAGCTTTTTAAATACTACTGACTTATAGGTGGACCGACTTATAGGCGAGTATATACGGTACAGTACAAATATCATGCATATTTAGTTTTCTACTCAGAAATACAGTCTTAATAATAGTTTTACCATATATTGATGGAGCATTGATGATTATAAGATTGTTATTCTCTCAGTGCACTTGTTCAATCATATTATTTTATTTTCACAGTGGGTTAGGGTTTGATATTTTGGGAGTTTTGTGCCATATTTTGAGATGAAAACAGGCTTGGGTAATTATGGTATAAGTAGAACTTAGCTGCAGAACTGTAGCTCTGTGCTTCAGAAAATTTGGACAGGTCCAAGCATTGTAAAAACCTTCCATTTACACCGTCACTAATTTTTTGTTGCTCACTTTGTTTATATTGTATTTAATGCCTTTCTGATATTTAAGAATGATAACGGATAATTTATCATGTAAATATATTTCATAACTATTCTTAATGCATGTACTTGTTTATCTTTCAAATGTCAGAAACCGCCCCATATGGTTTTGGAATGTTGGTTTGAAAAAATCATTCTGAGTCTATCTTGGAGATTTTGTGTAAGAAATACATATTTCAAAGAAGATACCCCCCCCCCCCCCCCTAATAAAATATATGGTAAATAATTGGACACAGTTTCTAAAGTAAAGAATATCATTAAATATAAGAAGTAATACCCGAAGTGAGGGACAAAGTAAAAAATGAAGACATAAAAAATGGAAGGTTTTAACAACACTTGGACCTGCAGCTCTCTGCTTTATCTGTCCAAATTTTCTGAAACAGACCAGTTCTACACTTCTGCAGCTAGGTAAATATACGAAACAGTGTTTTTCAACAAAGAAAAAAAAATGATTGTGTAATTAATACACAAAGACTGCCAAATTACACAGTATTATAATTAGAATGGTGAAGGGCATTCAAATAAGCAGAATATAATAATATGTTATCAAAATTTTAGAAATAATGTTCAATAAAAGTATAACTTTGAAATGGGTTTCAAATTACTTATGAAAAAAATGAGTTGTAATACATTTTCGAATTCAATACTTTATTTTGGATGATATAAAATACATATCAGTTGTTTTATTTATAATGTTTTTTCTTACGATAAACATAGAATAATATGTTACTCTTCCTTTTGATAGATTTTATAATTCTTTTCTTCTTGATGGTCTTCCCATTAATTTTTCTTTGTCAGCTAAAATGTTGAAAATAATTTTTATGACAAATTAAACTAAATATTCAAATATAACAGAAGAAACAAAACAAAATGTATGCATTCTGTTGTCTTTGATAACTGATATGAACAGATTTGGTATAAAATGCCATAAGTTTGCAGTATATACAGTTACCAGTGTAAATACATAAGTGTACATGAAAACTACCTGTCTAATTGACAGAAGAAATGCTCAACAAGATTTTGTGAGTTTGATTTATTTTATATTCACCTGTATATTAGTTTGGACTTGTATATATATACCTAATGATTATATACATTTAATTCTCCTGTTGACTGTATGTTTCAACTGTTGAACAATAAATAGTTACAGACCATGTAGTTGTTTGTTTATTTTAGAAAATGAGAAATCATTGTCAGATGTCACAGCTGTTGTCACAATTGTCTGGCAGTGTTTGTAAAGTATTGTGAACCTATTAAGTTAAAAGAAATTGTAGATGTTTTTTGTCTACAGGAAATCGGAGGATTCTTTTTCTCAAGAACAGTCATCCCATGGATGATTAGTCATATATACGTATAGAAGGTAAAGTTTATATTTGATAAAGAATATTTACCGAAGTTCAGAATCTTGTGTAAGAGTGAATAATAAGCTCACAAATTGGTTTAGATGCAAAACTGGTGTTAAGAGATAATTTATCCCCTACCCTGTTTTCAATTTTCATTAATGATCTGGTAAGGATATTAATAATCTTACTTTAGGCATAGAACTAGTTGATCGAAAATTGTCCATCTTATTATGATGATCATTATGATTATTATGATGATATCGCTTTAATAGCCTCCTGAAGATTTACAAAGTATGTTAGATAAACTACATAGCTGGTGTAGACGTTGGAGAGTTCTTATAAACACCAAAAAATCTAAGTGTGTACATTTTAATAAAACTAGGTCAAGGGCAGCCAATTGTGAATTCACTATTGGACTAAATAAGTTAGAAACAGTTGAAAATTATAAGTATTTAGATATAACATTTACGCATACTGGTAATTTCATGAAAAATGCAGAAAATCTTGCTAAAGCAGGGGGACGTGCACTAGGGAAAATTATATCTTCGATTCATAGTAATAAAGATTTCAGGTTTAATGCTTATGAAAAACTATTTTACTCTTGTGTCATACCTGTTTTGGATTATGCATCCAGTGTCTGGGGTTACAAAAAATTCCAGCCTATACACTGTAGATAATATACAGAACAGAGCTATTAGGTATTTTATTGGGGTTCACCGTTTTGCTCCTACAATAGGGGTTTATGGGGACACTGGATGGATTCCAAGTCAGTATAGACATTGGATAAATGTGATCAGATATTGGAATAGAGTTTTATCCTTTGGCAATGATCGAATTACAAGAATTGTTTTTGAAGTTGACTACAACAAGTGTAAAAATAATTGGTGCAGTGATTTGAAAGACATATTACATCAACTAGAGTTGGATTACTATTTCGAGTCAAAGCTTATGGTAGATATAAATATGGTTCAATTAAAAATACACAATTATTACTCAAACCTTTGGTGCAATGAGATTTTAAGCATTCCCAAGCTGAGGACCTATGTTAATTTTAAAACAACGTTTGGTAGAGAAACTTATTTAGTACTTGATATGCCTAAATATTTACGTTCAATTTTAGCACAATTTAGACGTGGCTTAATTTCTACCTTTACGAATAGAAACCGGTAGATATCATGGTGAATCTGTTGAGGATCGAATTTGTACACTTTGTTTTAGAAATAATGTAGAAGACGAAATTCATTTTTTGCTGCACTGTCCTTTTTACGCTGAATATCGATCAAAACTTTTTGAAAACACTGGTCTTAATCAAACGGAGTGGTCAGATATAGATTTACTATGTGTACTTATTTCAAATCATCCTAGACAGGTAGCAAAGTATTTGTATTTTTCATTTATGCGAAGACAGTCCTTTATCATGTTTATGTATAGAAAATGAAAATGTATTTTAATTTCATTTTCATTTACCAATAATCTTTATAAAAGACACTTCCAATCTCAGCATACAAAATGCATATTAATATAAACATTTATCACAATTATGTTTATTCTTCATTCACTTTTTTGTTATTTTCTTAACGTTGTGCTCTTTATTTTCTTTGTATATTGTATTTCTATTTTGTGTTTAAAGTGGCATATAGGCCCGATGGGCCGGGTGTTTATTGTTATTTTATACAGTCTGTTGACAAAAGAATGTAATTGTATACACATGTCACTATAAATAAATAAATTACTTACTTACTTACTATATATATATATAAAGCACTAAAAATGACGAACGACACGAACAATGCTTGGTTTTTTTTTGTTCGTGTCGTTGGTCATTTTTAGTGCTTTATATATATATATATATATATATATATATATATATATATATATATATATATATATATATATATACCAATCCAGGCATCCATTTTTTGTTTGTATCATCTGTCCTTAATAAACAAAATTAATTTTATCTAATGTTTAGTTAATCTGAAATTCATTCATATACACTGTACGTACTCTTATTTATCATTTTTCACATTCACGTTGTTTTAAATTTAAACAAAGAGACTTGCAGTACTATTCACATGAAAATGTTCACATTAGACCCATTAATATCACAGGAAGATTAACTATGCAATCTTTTATATTTGGTTTATCATTTGGAATTTTTAAAGAATATTCTAAAATACATTTTAGCATTTAACGAAACTATAAAGTGTTCCAATTAATGCAGAAACATTCAATATGATATATATTAAAATATTCTTCAGAAATTGTAACTAACAGCAACTATATATATGATTTGTTCCTTCACAATGTGTTTATATATTGCTCAAAAATTTCTTTAAGAAGTGTTTGCATTATTTCAATTAAAAGAAATAAATATATTTATGATAAGTAATGGTCTTGCTGATATATTTACAAACACTTATTTTTATTTTGAACAGTCAAAAGCAACCCTGTCAATCTAATGGAACTGAAGACTTTATTATAGTACATTTAATTTTTTTTTCGGGATATGGATATTTCTTCATGAGATTTATACTACTGGGTATGATGAAGCTCAAATAAAGTTTTTGTGCTCTTTATTTTATGTTCTATTTGTCAGGAAGAAAACTTTGCTCGGTCAAGATTTTCATTTAATCTTATATAATTTTATGTTCTTCAATTCTTTTGATTATATATTAATTTCACAGATTCACAGCAACTATATATATTAGTGTAAGACACTAATTCATCAAATTATTTTGGCATTTGGCATTAAGTTGACATTGGTGTGTGTTTTACAAATTGTTACCTAGGTCACTAGGAAATTGGAAATCATAAAAAATAGAATAAAATAATAGCATAAATAAGCAGAGGTAATGATGCTCCCTATTATATGTTCTATTTGTGAGAAGAAAAAGCTGCTCATTCGTGATTTGTAAGTATATATTTATCATATCTGCGATTTTAGCTTCCATTTCTGACTCTTTTGATTATATATCCAATATATCTAATTATAAAGATATAGCTTTAGTTCCCCAGTTTCGGAAATCAGCAAGCAAAGATTAGATACTCAAAAAGATATTTTTTTGGATATGTTTAGACTAACTATAATAAGTCTTTTCTAAATTCTTTCCTTTTTTCACTATATAGAAATAAATAGCAATAAAATAAATAAGACGTACTTGTGAATTATACAGTTTAATTCAAGAGCATACGTATCATAGAGGTTCATTCAAGCTATTCCCACTTTTTGAAAATCAGGTAGAAAAAGGTAAAATTTCATGTGGGAGTAGGTGGAATTATTGTGTAATGAATAATTAGCTGGATAAACATGTCATTACTATGAAAACAGTAATTATCAAATCAATGGGGGAGTAGAGGACATGTAAATTTGCTATTTTAGATTTTTTTTAAATCTGGCTCTTTCTTCTATTTCAATGAGAAATTAGACTTTTTCAAATAAAAATAGCAGATAAATTATTATTCTTTTTAGTGGATTTAAAAATATTTCTTTGTATATTTTTCTGTCAAACCTTTTTATTTATTCTTAACTCCAGTTACTTAAATACATTTCTTTCATATATACATGTATTTATATATTTTTTTAAATATTATAAATTTATTGATAAATATTTTTATCTTCTGTCAAATTTAAAAAAATGTACAAAATACTGGTAAAACGGGTAAATCTTAGATGGGGTGTAATTAGTCTAATTACTGTAAAAACCAATTAACTAATCAAAAAATCTATTGTTATTTGCAAGTGGGAAAAGGTGGAATTGACACTTTTAAAAAGTGGGAATAGCTAGAAGACACCATCATAGATATCGGAGATTTAAATTAATAGTTTGCACTATTGGACTTCCGTATTTTCCTATAATTAAATGAAAAAATAACACTAATTCTTTTTTTCCCCTTTTTTGACGTAACGATTCTTCAGCCAACGAATATTTGTATATTTGTTTCCTTTTAAATAGATGCCTTACATGTATATTAAGGACATACAGGAAATTTCATTATATCAAACCGAAAGTACACATTTCAAAGGTTTTACGAACAAAGATGGCGTCCGATTATGAAATAGAGATGGATATAACTGAGCATGTCGAATTTTGTGGACTACAAGCTGATCCGACTGACTGCTTCGGTCAGTCTTTTCCCACTTCAAGTAACCAACTGCCAAACTGCGTTGGAGGAGATGTTTTTCAAAATAACCATCGAGGACAACTGCGTAATTTTTTGTGCACTGGCTCATCATGTCATAACTACAGAGCAAGAAGTCATGCGCTGAGACTTGAAGATGTACCCTGTGTTTTACAGTAAGATATTTTTAAAGAGCATTCTAGATTGTACAGTGAATATTATTACGACAGTGTACGTTATGTAAAGTGGGTAGAACTCTTCTGAAAGTCATTTTTTTTTATTTTACTTTCGTTTCCTGCTATTTTGAATTATATTTCCTCTATTTTTATTAATTTTTTTTCCTTTTTTTTGTAAATCTTTGATTAAGTATAGTAATAGAACGTTTACTTTTATGTTTTTTTTTTCTTTTTCTTTTTCTGAAACATTTTGTAGGATAATAAGAACCATAGAAGAAATACGATATGTTTACATGGGGGTCAAAGTAATTATTTTTTTTTTCAGATTGATACAACAGGGGGAAGGGAAGAGTATCATCGAGCTTCTCATTCATTTCTCAGAGGAGCATCGCGCATGTAAAGAAGATCCATTGCTGTTTGTGTTAGCAATTTGTTGCAGATCGAATGACGTAGAAACAAAAAAATCCGGATATGGTGCCCTAAAATCTATATGTAGAATTCCTACTCAACTTTTCAGATTTCTTGATTTCTACAAAAAAATTGGTTTTGAGCAATCATTATCCACAGGATGGGGTAGTTTGCATCGAAAGGCAATCTGTGATTGGTATCTTAGTTATGGCACTGAAGCAGACAAATTAAAACTATTTGCACATCACATTACAAAGTATTGGAAAAGGTACGGATGGTGTCATAAAAGTGTGATTCGTCTAGCTCACCTCAAGGTCAAGGAGGAGAATCCAGTCTTAAAGTATTTGGTCATGGTTGCAGTTAAGGGCAAAAAATATGCAGACAGCTCCACATTTATGCAAAAGCAAATGAAGCAAGAAAATTTTCGAAAGTCACTTTTTAAGGAAATTTTTGACTTTCTATCTGGGATAGAAATTGCCAAAATAACGAAAGATGTCTCTCAAATAAAGACACTTATTTTGAAGCACAGACTAGTGAAAGAACAATTGCCAACCACGAGTTTAAATGATATTGGTATCTGGCTGGCTCTTGTGAGGCATATGCCATTAACAGATCTGCTTCGTAATTTAGGGAAAATGTCTAAGTTTAAACTATTCGAAAAGGAAAGTTCTTCAAGAAAGAATATATCCTTTGAAGAGCATTTAATCATCGAGAAATTAAAAAACAAAGAACTGCTTGATCAAGAGGCAGTTCACCCATTTACGTACATGTTGGCTCTGACGCAGTACAAAAGAGGTGAAAACTATTCTAGAAAACTTCAATGGCCAGTATATCCACAAATTTGCTCTGCACTTGAAGAGGGATTGTACTTATCGTTCAATAATGACAAACCTACAAAAAAGTGGTTTCTACTTGCACTGGATATCAGTAAATCTATGGAGGAAAGTGTCAATGTAGTAGGCGCCCCAACATTACAGGCATTGGAAGTTGCTGCTTTTATGTCGACTTTTATAATTAAAACGGAAAGAAATTGCGATGCTATAGTTTTTAGAGGCGAAAATGTGGATGTTTTGCCCGTCAGTTCTTCTAATACTATAGCCGAGGTAACAGAGAAAATGAGGACTCTTGCGCGTCCAATGAGAGATATCCCTGAAGATCCCTATTGGCCATTCAGATATGCAATTGAAAAAAATAAAGTATACGACGTTTTTGTCATTTACACGGACTCAAATTTCTGTTTAGGTAATGCCCATCTTTCTCAGGCATTGCAACTTTATCGCCAAGCGACTGGAAACAAAGAAGTCAGACTTGTTGTTTGTAATTTGGCCGGTTTCGATGTCTCAATCGGAGACATTGAAGATCCCCTGATATTGAGAGTGTGTGGATTTGATTCTTATGTTCCACAAATAATATCGAACTTCGTTAATAGAGAATTCTGATTCCTTGAAGTGCACTCAGGAAGCTCTTTACACGCATGTCTTTGTGGTTATTTCTTAATTTTGTATACCTATTAAATTAAGTTGTGATATGGAACCGATAAATCAAATGTTTCAAGGTAATAATAATAATTTTAAAAAACCGTAATAACCTTTAATTATCCAGGATTACACATTTAACATAAAGGTAGTTTTCATGCCGCAAAAGATTTCATATATGGACAAAGCAGCTATTGAAAAAAAATGCGAAATGGAATATTAATCGTACGAGAGTTCATGCATGACTAAATAGGAAATATATTTAAACTTGTAAATGCAAAACCTGGCCCCAGGATCATGAAACAGACTTAGACTTAAGTCAAATTTTCAATTGACTGTATAATTCTTATTAATTACTGAATTAATCTCAAAATTTGCAAACAATAGCACATTTGTTAATCAATATTGAAACTCATTTTAATGTTGATCCACTTGACTTCCACAACATTAAAGTATAACATGAAGATTTTGACTTAAGCTTAAGATGCTTCATGATCCTGGGGCCTGAGGACTAAGATAAAACCTTTTTCATTTTTATACAAAAGCATACCTTATATACAAAATACCTCCTGTCTCTTAAAGAAATAATGTGTCGGACCTATTGGCTGTCATGCATATGTGTCAAAGATGATTTAAAAATGGAGAAATATCACCAGTATAAACGTAAACAGGCCTGGTTGTCGCAGCAATGTATGCCAAATACTCATGTCGTTTGCTTCAAAGTGCTTTTACAAATGTCTTCTTCACTGTATCATTATTATTGCATACTTTGATTTATGTACATGGCATAATATAACGTGTGGCCAATAAAACAATTAAATGCAAATACGCTTTTGTGACTGTTGTCAGAGTAAAAAGCTGTGAAATACATGTACGAGGGTCATTCAAGAAATACGTAGACAATGCTTCTCATCGTCATATGATTATTACAAGATTATAAATCAACACATTTTCGTAAACATATGATAAACATTTATTTTGTCAAAGTGTGAAGTTTCATTCCATTTGATTATATAGAACTCACGTTAGCCATAATTTAAAGCAACATGTTTTGCTACCACGGAGCACGGTTAACCAATATTGTAACGTCAAAAACAACGCTGAGAAAGTTTTTTTTTTATTTCAAACACGGTTTGTAGCGTCTTCTCCATTCAAAAGACATATCCACAACACTTAACACCTAGTTTGCCAACAATTGTACAAATATAGCTTGAATTTGAATGTTATTGTTTTCAAATTCTTTAATATACCATGCAACTCTATTATTTCTGCAACATTGAATCATACATCACGTTCAATGACGTTTATTCTCTTGTGACAATTTTTTTTTAACTTTAACCTGTTTCTTTGCAGACAATCCATCGTCCGATTCAAACTCGCTACCATTTAAAAATCGTGTTTTCAATTTAATACAAATACACAGATTATTTTTCATACAAATCCTGGTTTATAAGGATTTTTTTTAAGCTAGTAGAAGAAGTTTCCCTAATGTAATGTCTAATTTTATTGCTACTTGCTGCTCCGTGACGTCCTCCAACGTCATGGTTTTCTGCCTTTTTTAATTACGTCCATATACAGTGGAGCCTCATTTATCCGGACGCTTTGGTTCCCAGTCAAATTGTCCGCATAAGTGAAGCGTCCGGATATATGGATTCTATTGATTTCTATTCCAGGTATACTGTTTTTGTATTGTAACTCTTATATATAAAAGAAAGATACATATTATCATATAGAAATAATAATTTATTATTTTAAAAATGGTTATTTTCTCCTCGTCAATAACAAACTTCTTTAAATCTTGCAATGAAGAACGTGGAAGATCTTCTTTGCGTTGGCAGATTTTTTTCTTTAAGCATGCCAGCGTAAATGCCGACTCGCGCTCTCTTTGCCGGTGTAAAGACGAATAATGACCCCCATCGAATAATGACCGGGGGTCATTTTTCGCTGTCGAAAAATGACCCCCGGTCATTATTCAACGTTGAAAAATGACCCCTTTGCCCGTAGAAAAAGTGCCACTTCCCTAAAAATTTGCAGAACCCACGTGAAGAAAAATGACCCCCGTAGAAAAATGACTCCCTGTGGATTAATGCTGAACTTTTTAGAGGGCAAAAAAAAAAAAATAGATAAAAAAAGCCTATTGGCCAAAATGCTCACCTGAGCTATAGCTAATTCAGAATGAATTGATGATATGTTGATCTCATAACATTTTGCAATAACAGCTACATTTTAAGGTCAATATGATGATTCAGAATCTAAAGGAGTAAAAAATTTATCGAGCCTAAAGGGTTAGGTAAACGTTGTTTTTCGATGGTGTAAATCATCGTACTGACAGAATTAAAAAAATCAGCAGTATTACTGTATACAGGGAAATTTTCGCCCCCGTTTTATTGTCACCCCTTTCGCCCTTGTCACAAATAAGAGAATTTAAAATAGGGCGAATTCAAAGAACACAGTATATTTTCTTAAAGAGAACTGTGACTGGGCAAATTTAAGACGGGGCAAAATTGTAAGCAAGTGTAAAAGGGCGAAAATAACACGGGGCGAAAATAAGCCTGTATACAGTATATATTATCATATACTCCGCTTGAAAAGCGGGGGGGGGGGGGGGGGGTATATAGTGATCGGGATATCCGTTCGTCCGTCTGTTACGCTTTGGGGGTATCCATCTGTTATCCGCAACTCCTCTTATATATAAAAAGATGTGTTTGTGAAACAGCTATGCCCCTGTATGGCAAGATTAAACTTTTCTTAAATGCAATTTAAATATATGGTACCCAAAGTAGGATCTTCTCACAAGAAAAACAATTATAAAATAGGAAAGCCCTAGCACCACTTGTTCAAAAGTAATGGCTAAGGATAAGTTTTTGAAAGGTAGGTCAAACTCAGAGGTCAAAGGGTCAAAGTTGATGGTTTCTTAAGAAAGGTTTAATGTAACAAGGATTACATATGTTAAGTATGAAAACCCTAGCCCTTACCATTCAAAAGTTATGGCCAAGGTTAAAGTTTTTTTTCATAAGTACGGAAATCTCCAAGGTCAAGGTCAAAAGGTCAAAGTTTTTAGTATGCAATAAAAGGTCATGCCAAAATAATACATATGTGAAGTATGAGATTTGGCATTTCTGTGTAAGATTGGACAAATTCCAAGGTAAAGGTCAAAAGGTCAAATTTGGTGGTACCCAAAGTAAAGTCTTGTCAGAAGGAATACACATATTGAATATGAAAGTCATCGCTCCAGTAAATGAAAAGTTGTTTTCAAGGTTAAAAGTTTTTGAGAACAGACCGCCAGATACTAAGTAGACAGACAGACATACAGACGGACACGATAAAACTATATACCCCCGAATCTTCGATTTCGGGGACATAAAAATATGTTATGTCTACATGTATAGTTTTTGCATTAGAATGTGTATTTTACACTAGCACATGTATAGCTTTACAGAGCATATTTTTGTTATACCCACCCAACCCCCTTACTTATTTAGGAGGAAGTCGATTATCAACGAAAGCAACAAAAAAACTACCCTACCTTTATTATAATATATCTTTAGAGAATGCCTCTAATCACTAATATTCAGTGAACATGCTTTCTCAACAAACAATCTATTGTTACGTTTATCAATATAACCAATTCAGCATTTATATATATTTACATAAAGCTAATACATGTAATATCATTTTATGTAGTTGTTTGTAGCTTTAGTTATTTGCTCATGACAACAAATTCAAAGCTCCAAGCAGAATAAAGCTCTCTAAAAAGGCATTTTGTTTATTGAATTTGTCTTTATGAATTGCAAAAGAAATCTTTTACCTACATTTTTAATGGGTAAAATAATCAATCAATAGCATGGATGTATAAATGGAATTAGCGTGGATCTTACTGTGAATGAAATGCATGCAGATTTTATAGATTGAAAACAATTCTGAAAAATAGTATATCCTGCATCCGAAATCCACTCTAGTGATCATATTATCCAGGCACAAAGAAGGATAAGAGATTACCCCCTATCCATTTTTTCAGAATGTATTTTTTAACAATTTGTAGTTTGAAAATGAAACTCATTTAATCACCCAATCTTTTTTTCAAAACAGTATTATAGTAAAAACACCTCTCCTTTTTGAGTGGAAAAGATGCACAGAACATTCAGGAACATAGAATCAGAGATGAGGCGGGGTTTTATCCCCTTTCCAAAATCATGAATGTAAAGTTTTAATTTCTCACTTGAAAATGTTCATTGCAAGTCTGGTTGTTCTACTGGAGGGGGGGGTATAAATATGTATTTGCAAAGGTTTAAAATATCTTTAATCATATAGTGATAGTGTACATGTATAGGATGGAACATATAAAAATATACAGCGTCGAGGCGTCTTGTCATCAATTTCTATTTTTACTCACTCGTCTGAATAAAACCTTATTAATTCGAACTAATTACGTATTTGTACGCACCGATATTAATTCGTCTGCTACAAATTTTTACTTTTTCCCAACAAATATTTTTTTTCTGAAACAACGTATAAATAGGGGCAGTAAAAAAAAAATTATATTCATAATTTTGTCTACAGCTTGTGTTTGATCCATTTACATGTACATGTACCATCTTTGATTTTCTAGGTTTGCTCCTTTATAAGAGAAATGAAGATTAATTGATTGATTGTTAATTGCTTAAAACTGATTTGTCAATATTTCGTCAGAGAGAAAGGAAGAATTCATAATTTTATCTACAGCTTGTGTTTGATCCATTTACATGTACATATACCATCTTTGATTTTCTAGGTTTGCTCCTTTATCAGAGAAATGAAGATTAATTGATTGATTGTTAATTGCTTAAAACTGATTTGTCAATATTTCGGCAGAGAGAAATGATTTTATTACCCCTACGTGCTAAAGATCCAATCTATTCGAAAAAAAATGCATGAATTATTCGAAGTAAGAACAATTAAAATATACAGCATATTTTCCCCTTTCACCTGTTATAAATTGTGTATCACTTTAAAGGGGGTCATTTTTCAATGGGGGTCAATTTTTTATAGGACTAACATATAAAATAATGACCCCCTAGGACTCTTTTTCTACAAAAAATGATTTTTTTCTACGGGTGGGGGTCATTTTTCGACAGCGAAAAATGACCCCCGGTCATTATTCGATGGGGGTCATTATTCGTCTTTACACCGGCGGTGTAGACTTTTTTGTAGCTGGAGAGCAAAATGACAAACATTGGATATAACACCGCTTATATGAGCAGATTTTTAATTACCCAGCTTATGTTTACTTTCTACTCCTATAAATTGATGTAGATAGCCAAGCTAATTCTTTCATTTGCAGCTTTAATTACACCCAGGCGAGCTGTCAGTATCGAGTCTTATTTTAATTTGAAAACTCATGATCCACGCTAAATCTGACATATTTAAGGAATCACTGTCTAGTTTTGAGGGTATGCCAGAGCATCAACAATAGTGGGAAACATGGGATAATTTGCATAACGGGCGAAGCCCGTTATGCTAAAATTATCCCATGTTTCCCACTATTGTTGATGTCCCTGGCATACCCTCAAAACTAGACAGTGATTCCTTATATTTCCATTTTTACTTGAAATAACCATCTTAAAATAAATCGAAATACCGTCTAATTGAGTAGATTTGAAATGCACAAGGCCCCATGACGTCAAATTTTACTATAAAAAATAGTCCTATAAACACTAAACAAATTTATTGACTATTTATATATTTACCGTAGTCAAATATCAACATTTATAAAATAAACAACAAAAGAATTTTAAATGATGATCAAAGTAATCTTGTTGACTTTAATTATATATGTGACCTAGATTTAGGTTGTCGGAAGCACGAACATATATAGGCACTATGTCACTTTTCCGCCGCCATATTGAATGCAATGTTGCAGTTGATGAAACGGGAGCTGGTCAGCATGGTCAGGAAACCGATTTGTATGGATGTTATAATAACAGAAGAAGTTGAGTTGCTTAAGAAGTCGGATGGTAATGACTAAGGGACGATGTCTGTATCAGATGATGGAGTACGTGCAGATCCATGTGGCAATGTCAATTTCTCCACGTGGCTGTTACGGAAGTGGAGTTCTCGGACTCGCGAGGCCTCGGTGATAGTGGACAGCGTTGCGCTATTGACTTGCTTTCGAGCCGAAGATAATTCATTATTTATTTTGTTTGTTAAAAAGATATATCAATCAATTTACTTAGTAAACAATTAAACAAAACATCTATTTTTTCTTGAGTATATTTATACGCCAGTGATATACATGCAGGTTGACACCTGACCTTTCAGTAATAGAGAAATATGCATACCACAGGGTATTATCATGAAATTAACAAGATACACTTTTGTAGTGTTTATCATAGAGAAAACAATTGGAAATGGAAATATTAAAAATTCACGCAGTAATCATTCCAAGCGAAATCATTGATTGTCTAAAGAATGAGTGCACTTAAGCTATGAGAGTTGGATCCCGATGTTTTGCGCAAAATAAAATTCCAAAATTCATTAAATTTATGTTTTATAGGTATTATACAATGTCTTAAGAGCAGGTTTTGGTATATTATATTACATGAAAGTATTAAATAATGTCGAACGACACTAGCTTTTGAGACGGGGGTCTAACAGTTTTGTCTCATTTCTATTGTTATTCATATGCATACCTGTTTTCAACGACTTTGTTTACATCGAGCCGCAACTTGGCCATTTTTCTTATTTGCACAGAATATGTATTTTAACTTAAACTTATACATATCCAAAGGACAATGTTGGCCAAGTTGCGGCTCATATCTAATTTTCAAAAAAATGTCCCCAAACTAGAGTCGAGATAGCTACTAAATTAACCGGTCACTGAGCAACAACGATTGATATTATAATCACCTTTCTCACGTGACCTTCTGCTGTTCGATACGCTAACGCTTTCATTGTTTCATTGTGTTTAAGTTTCTGTTGTGACAGTATCTATCGTACTTCCAACTTCAAACTATGGAAGAGTTTTGTGCAAATTCTAAAAGGGTTTGAAGATAATATGTCTTTTATTTAACTTCATAGTTTTCATTAGAGGTGTTTTGAAAGAATTCTGGTATTGACAGTGTCATTAGTAAGTACATGCATGTATAGGCTTATGTCGCCTCTGTATTATGGTCTGCACAGCGAGACATTTACCCCATCCCTTAACATTAGAATCATTTAATAATTGTGCACCATGAAATCAACACGATCTCTCTCTCTTCTCCATTTCAATTCGCAATGCGAAAAAATCATATGTGCTAATGTTTACATTCCACAGCCATGCGGTTTAAATGTCTCCGCCTATTTGCGGATACCTTAGATTCGAAAGTGGTCCCGTTCAAATTTCCGGAATTTAAGACTTTTACATGTTCTTTTCAATTACATTTTCTGTAATTATAGAAATATGTATGACAAAAAATTCTAGAAATAAATATCAAAAGCATATGCTTGCACATGAATCATAGATTAATTTAGCGATATATTGTAATGTTAAGCTTAAAATGGGTAGCCGAAAAGGTTCCAAATGACGTACTTAAGTGCACTCATTCTTTAAAATACGAATTTGATTGAATGTTATAGGCTTTTTTTCGATGATAACTTCCACCAATCTACAGATAAAAATTACACAATACCGATGTGTAGACAACGAGATTATGAAACTGTCTTCCCGTCTATAAATAGAAAAATATTTAAAACCAGCTCTGTACTAAAATTATAAATATCTCGCAGATAACAAATAGCTGAATAGAAAATTGTTTTCAATTGTTTTGTTACCAACACAGTTAATTGTTTATTTTTCATTAGATAGAATGTTCTATCGTTAAAATGATATTGTCCTACGGACCCGGTTTAACGATAGAATTCGTTCCGTGTATTCGTAATGTAGCAGAAAGAAACACGGGCGATAACTCGCACAGTGCATTTACTAGGAACAATCTAGAGAGTTCCGAATGTAAACATTTGAATCGAGAGAAAAACGTTGAGAAAATTAATTGGATTTACGTATTTATATGGATTATTTTTTGGGATAAAAGGCATAAGCAATCTCAAGAAGGTTTGTTTTGATTAATTTGGTAGTTATTCCCAGTGCAAATCATTTTTTATTCTTCAAAATCGTTTCGGAGCGGATCCGCTCCGATTTGCTACATTGCAAGTATATGGGACGTATTCTAACTGTGGTGAGGGCCTGTACCGAGACACAGTTAGATTATTCCAACTACGATCACCTGTGACCTGTTATGAATGACTTACGATGATTAGTCAACAGATTAAGCATGCTAAGTGGATATGGTCATAATTTAATATACGAGAGATCGATACACAAATGAAAAATTAGTTGGAATAATCTAACTGTGTCTCGGTACAGGCCCTCACCACAGTTAGAATACGTCCCATATACTTGCAATGTAGCAAATCGGAGCGGATCCGCTCCGAAACGATTTTGAAGAATAAAAAATGATTTGCACTGGGAATAACTACCAAAATAATCAAAACAAACCTTCTTGAGATTGCTTATGCCTTTTATCCCAAAAAATAATCCATATAAATACGTAAATCCAATTAATTTTCTCAACGTTTTTCTCTCGATTCAAATGTTTACATTCGGAACTCTCTAGATTGTTCCTAGTAAATGCACTATGCGAGTTATCGCCCGTGTTTCTTTCTGCTACATTACCAATACACGGAACGAATTCTATCGTTAAACCGGGTCCGTAGGACAATATCATTTTAACGATGGAACATTCTATCTAAGGTGATCGTCTTGTAAAAACAGTCAATCCGACCAGTGTTTTGATAACAATTATCACTCAGTTCAGGCTAGAGTGTTAACAAGAGTGGAAGTACAAATTAAAATTTACCGTCCGGATAAATGAACCAAATTATAACGTAAAAATACATTTTGTAGTAAAAAAGAGCCGTCCGGATACGGAACGCGGAATTCCGGATAAATGAGTCAAAATTACGTTTAAAAAATCCGTTCCCGAGAAAAATCGTCCGGAAGGTGAAGCGTCCGGATATCTGAAGGTCCACTGTATATTTAGAAGCTGATATCTTTTAAATGGAGCGAGATATTACATAACCTGATTTCAATTTAATTAATACAGCTATAATTTATTTAAACATGTAAATTTTATTTCGTTTCAGCTCCATTTATTAGAGATATAGCTGTAAATACTATAAAGTGAAAATTAGAAAATTACTCAATTTTGACGGTGTTCCGTGACCCCATTTTTGCTGTTCTAAATCCTTGGTAATTTTAAGAAATATGAAGACACATTCCAATTTTTTTACTCAAATTATTTGAATCTGTTGTTAAAATATTTGTACCAAATTTGGATATAATATGACGTTAAATAAAAAAGTTTGGACAAAAGTCTACGAACTTTTTGAATGACCCTCGTATGTAAGGTCAAAAGGAAGGCTTAGATTTTACCAACCTAATTCTTGTGATTTTGTTTTGTTTACAAATTTTACGAATTTAGCTTAGTGGGACATTAGCATTTTATTTTACATTTAAAAAAATATTACTCTTTTGTATATTTCTTGCAGTGTAAAATGCTTTAGCATGATATGAATCATAATATTTAGACAATTCTAAAAACAAAGCTGGTCCTTTAGATGAGACCTTAAAAACAGTGGCCCCGTGTCAGCGGCAGGCGTTGGCACGATCAAGATCCCTCACTGCTCAATGACACTGAGTGCTGAGTAAAGTCAAAAATTTGAAGCCCTTCACCGGCATACGGTGACGTATGAGTGAAAAATTCTCGAGAGCCCTTTTAACATTGTACTGCTGTTATTGTTCAATGCCAGTCCCTCCTTATCCATAGGCGCTTGGGTACATGATGGTGTATTTTGTATATTAAGTCTTTTTCTACGTGTGTCTGAATACCCTCATTGAAATGAAAATAAGAATTCACCGAAATTTGGTAGCACGTTTTAAAAAATGTCATATTGACTGTGTCGTGTTGATCAGTATATTGACCATTTTGTCGTTTTCCCGAAATGCTACTCGCCTACTGACATCATTGTGATCTATCTTGGAAGTTTAACTTCTACAGTAATACACCAGAGTCCAAGAGTAAACTCTCAGAGAGGGATGGCAGTCTGATTTTATCAGCTTACTCGACTTCACTGTAAAAAATGTGCTTCGGAATAAACACTACCAACTACCATTACAGGTTTATATCTAAACATGTTTAATATTATGTTTAACAACTAAACACTTCGGTCGAAAGTATTTAATACCTAAAGATGTTAAGAAATTAAACACGTGTTTCATTCTTCATTCAGTGAAATACAAAGTCGTCTTCCCGGAAATGATCGAGATATTTTCAAACATGAATTAGCGCGGCTGTCGAACAAAGAAAATCACAGTAACAAGAGAAAAACCGTTTTTCCTATAAAAATGATAGAAATTCAAGATACAACTGTTGCAGAAAAAGTGACATACACGAGGGATGCTTCTTATTTACACAAATTGAGCCGGCTTGACAAGAAAGGTAAACAATATCAACAGTACTTGTTTATTGTAGGATCGTGCATTCTTTACTGAATTACTGAAGAAGATATCATATTAATGTACACCATTATTAATTTGTACAGTTTTGCTATTCACGATAAGGTTTTAAAACATTTTTGTTATGTAATCCTTTGTATTTTTAGTACTTTATATTGGATAATATATTTGGATTTTTAAACCTATACATTAAGTCACCTGTAACCGTACATTAAGTTGAAAAAACTCTCAATTCTTAACTTAATCGACAGTTTTTGTCAACTCAATGTACAATTACAGGAAACTTAATGTACAGGTTTTAAATGTTGCAAAAAAGTGTAATTATGTATATTTTAAGGAATTTATGTAATCTAAATGCGTACAAAATGCAATATACCTTCTGAACTTCATTAGTGATGAAAACAGACAAATAATTTTTTTATTTAATACACGATTGTGCATAAATATCAAACATTTGTATATGAAATGTTCAACAGTATATCATCTTTGGAAAAGACAAATCCAATGCAATTAAGACACATATGTAAATCCTGATGCATAATAATTTTAGAACATCCACATCCAGAAGTTTCTTTTTTAATACACAAACGTTCAATCCTCTTTGCAGCATTTGTAAATGAATGCTGGATATGGTAGATCCATTCCATGAATATATATCCAACAAATAAAAATATATCCAAAAGCAAATTAACTTTAATGAGAAAGGTATATTTCCTGATGAAATGATAATCTTACTAGTTGCACTGCAGTCAGAATCATTTTTGGGACAAGAATCACAAATTTTCATTTTTTTTCGTACACTTCCCATCATCTGAATCCCCCGTATTTCCACGAATTATTTCATTTACTCCATGTTGCTTTTCATTGTTGGTTCAATTTAGGATCAAACTATAACAGATTTGTGACCTGATTTTCTCTATTATTAGCCATTCTTCAATCTCAGCTTCATACATGCGGGTCACCACTCTTGTTCTCAAAGAATGATTCGTATAGTGTCCTAAAATCTTGATTGTTCACAAAGATTTGTGATATTTTTAAACTGGAACACTAACTTTAGAATCTGCTTACCTACACCACAGGCCTCTGCTTGTGCCTAATCTACTTTAGAGTATTCACCACCCTATGGCCTGTATTTTGGAGAAATATGTAATATTACTTTTTCCATCCGATAAGGACAACCTTGCTTATGAAGCTTTACATGGGAAGTAGTCAGAAATCAAGTGAGAGCTCTATCATTTAAATTTACCTGGCACTGTCCATTAAGCTAAACAATGCAGCTATTGTTTTCACCTATCACTTTCTGTACAATCAAGTGCGTTACATAATCATAGCAAATACAAAACCATCACATGGGACAGTTTATTAAGTTAACAATAGAGAAAATGTTTTAAGTAGGATCAAGTCCTCAAACTGTCCATTCTGTGAGAGAAAAAACTATTCTCGGCCCTTCGGGCCTCGAACAGTTCTTTCTCTCACAGAATGGACAGTTTTCGGACTTTCTCCTTTACATAAAATACCGGTAATGGATGTTAATGAACGATAATCAACTTACAACAAAGAGCACATATATATACCTTATATTATTATTGAGATACGCTTTGTGCGTTGTGTGTGTCTTCAACGTTTTACACACAAAGAAATCTTGGATACAATAAATAGTATGCTTTTACATAAAACCCAAATAATAATTTAAAATTCTTTTATTTATGATAGAGAAAATGATGGAGAGGTTGAAAAAAGACTTTTAACCACACAAGAAAACATAAACTTCCAGCAGAAAGGCTACGGACCAAAGAGTCACTGGATTTGATCATTGGTATAAGGTAAATTTATGTACTAACTTTTTTCTTCATTTGATTGTGTTAATGTAGTTTGTTATGTATGCATTACATGTATAAGTTTGAAGTTTTTTCAGACCCCCCCCCCCCGCCATGGAACTGTTTCCTTCTCTCGTTTTAAGACTGAAATTTCTGTCTAATATATTTGTTTTATTTTTATAATATTTTATTTTACAAATATTTCTTTGCAGAAAAACAACATTTTACTAAAATCAAAAATCGTAAGGATCCAGCCAAGTTGAAGATCATCACAGAAGAAAAGAATAGCATTATGAACTTAATTATTGGAAGAGGACTGGAGATAATGGGATCTACTACCTTTAACTCGCTGAACCGGGACCTTTGCTATGTTACTAAGCTCAGACTAAAGATATTCCAAATAGTTTCAAATTCTGGACGGTTTACGATCTCAGTGACATAGAAAACAAAAAAGTAAAAAAAAAACCCTAAAAGACGAAAGAGTCTGATTACTAAAATAAGTATTTCGAAGGTTTTGTGGCATACTGTGTTTGTTAAAGAATAACATTTTATTCATTAATGGATTAAATGTAAAATATTTTAATTCAATTTTCTAATAAATTAATAAAAATTGTAAAATTATTCTGAAGTTCTTTGTATTTTTATAGAGATAACTACGTTGGTTTATTACAGGATCATCATATTATAAGTGTACCATATTTGGATAATTATTCTTTAAATTTGATAGTATTTTATCATGTTTCAAGGTTTATCGTGAACATGTTTAGAAATTAAACGGATACCTAAACATGTTTAGAAAATAAATGTGTTCAAGTACTAAACATGTTAAAAATCTGTCTATAATAGTGTTTAGAAACATGTTTAGACTCTAAACACATTTTTACAGTGTCGGAGAGGTAGGATAATGTACATTTGGACAGTTACGTTTCACCAGGTCCAGAACATTTTTTTGATAATTAATTTAGCTTGAAATAGCTATGTAGCTTTAATATGTTGACGGTGCGACCGTTAGGGCGAGCGCAGATTCTTATCCATTTTCATTTAGATTGGACATAACAGTGGGACGGACAACTTCGGAATGGACATTTTTCCGAACTTGCGCACCCTTTTCCTTTAAAGCTATCATCTTAGGGTTTTTTTTAAATGGTGGGGTTTTTATAATCAAATTGATTTATGAAAAAAAAATTCAACATTTTCTGCTAATTTTTGAGATATTTGAGTTCAAAAACAAAAATCCCATGGGGAAACATGAACTTAAAAATACCCCACAAAAAACCCCACAAAAACCCCATGGGGTTTATTTTTCACCCCATGGGGTTAAATAACCCATATTATTTTTCGTGGGGTTTTTTAACCCACGTCTCACTAAAAATAAA